AGATCATATGATACATGTCTTTCTCTGATTGACTTATTTCGCTTAGCATAATACCCTCTAGTTCCATCCACATCATTGCAAATGGCAAGATTCCCTTTTTGGTGGCTGCATAATACTCCACTGTATATATATATACACCACATCTTCTTTATCCATTCATCTGTTGATAGACATCTCGGCTCTTTCCAGTAGTGCAATTGCTGGGTCGTGCAGTAGCTCTATTTTCAACTTTTTGAGGAACCTCCATACTGTTTTCCAGAGTGGCTGCACCAGCTTGCATTCCCACCAACAGTGTAGGAGGGTTCGCCTTTCTCCACATCCCCGCCATCATCTGTCGTTTCCTGACTTGTTAATTTTAGCCATTCTGACTGGTGTGAGGTGGTATCTCATTGAGGTTTTGATTTGGATTTCCCTGATGCCGAGCGATGTTGAGCACTTTTTCATGTGTCTGTTGGCCATTTGGATGTCTTCTTTGGAAAAATGTCTGTTCATGTCTTCTGCCCGTTTCTTGATTGGATCATTTGTTCTTTGGGTGTTGAGTTTGAGAAGTTCTTTATAGATTTTGGATACTAGCCCTTTATCTGATATGTCATTTGCAAATATCTTCTCCCATTCTGTTGGTTGTCTTTTGGTTTTGTTGACTGTTTCCTTTGCTTGCAAAAGCTTTTTATCTTGATGAAGTCCCAATAGTTCATTTTTGCCCTTGCTTCCCTTACCTTTGGCGATGTTTCTAGGAAGAAGTTGCTGCGGCTGAGGTCAGAGAGGTTGCTGCCTGTGTTCTCCTCAGAATTTTGATGGACTCCTGTCTCACATTTAGGTCTTTCATCCATTTTGAGTCTATTTTTGTGTGTGGTGTAAGGAAATGGTCCAGATTCATTCTTCTGCATGTGACTGTCCAATTTTCCCAACACCATTTGTTGAAGAGACTGTCTTTTTTCCATTGGACATTCATTCCTACTTTGTCGAAGATTAGTTGACCATAGAGTTGAGGGTCCATTTCTGGGCTCTCTCTTCTGTTCCATTGATCTGTGTGTCTGTTTTTGTGCCAGTACCATACTGTCTTGATGATGACAGCTTTGTAATAGAGCTTGAAGTCCGGAATTATGATGCTGCCAGCTTTGCTTTTCTTTTTCAACATTCCTCTAGCTATCCGGGGTCTTTTCTGGTTCCATACAAATTTTAGGATGATTTGTTCCATTTCTTTGAAAAAATTTGATGGTATTTTGATAGGGATTGCATTAAATGTGTAGATTGCTCTAGATAGCATTGACATCTTCACAATATTTGTTCTTCCAGTCCGTGAGCATGGAACGTTTTTCCATTTCTTTGTGTCTTCCTCCATTTCTTTCCTGAGTATTTTATAGTTTTCTGAGTGCAGATTCTTTGCCTCTTTGGTTAGATTTATTCCTAGGTACCTTATGGTTTGTGTGCAGTTGTAAATGGGATCGACTCCTTAATTTATCTTTCTTCTGTCTTGTTGTTGGTGTATAGGAATGCCACTGATTTCTGTGCATTGATTTTATATCCTGCCACTTTACTGAATTCCTGTATGAGTTCTAGCAGTTTTGGGGTGGAGTCTTTTGGGTTTTCCACATAAAGTATCATATCATCTGCAAAGAGTGAGAGTTTGACTTCTTCTTTGCCAATTCAGATGCCTTTGATTTCTTTTTGTTGTCTGATTGCTGTGGCTAGGAATTCTAATACTATGTTGAATGGCAGTGGTGATAGTGGACATCCCTGCCATGTTCCTGACCTTAGGGGGAAGCTCTCAGTTTTTCCCCATTGAGAATGATATTCACTCTGGGTTTTTCATAGATGGCTTTTATGATATTGAGGTATGTACACCCTATCCCTACACTCTGAAAAAAGTTAATCAAGAAAGGATGCTGTACTTTGTCAAATGCTTTTTCTGCATCTATTGAGAGGATCGTATGGTTCTTGTTCTTTCTTTTATTAATGTATTGTTTCCCATTGATTGATTTGTGGATGTTGAACCAGCCTTGCAGCCCAGGAATAAATCCTGCTTGGTCGTGGTGAATAATCCTTTTTATGTACTGTTGTATCCTATTGGCTAGTATTTTGGTGAGAATTTTTGCATCCATGTTCATCAGGGATATTGGTCTGTAATTCTCCTTTTTGATGGGATCTTTGTCTGATTTTGGGATCAAGGTAATGCTGGCCTCATAAAATGAGTTCGGAAGTTTTCCTTCCATTTCAATTTTTTGGAACAGTTTCCGAAGAATAGGTATTAATTCTTCTTTAAATGTTTGATAGAATTCCCCTGGGAAGCCATCTGGCCCTGGGCTCTTGTTTGTTGGGAGATTTTTGATGACTGCTTCAATTTCCTTTGTAGTTACAGGTCTGTTCAGGTTTTCTATTTCTTCCTGGTTTAGTTTTGGTAGTTGATACATCTCTAGGAATGCATCCATTTCTTCCAGGTTATCTAATTTGCTGGCATAGAGTTGCTCATAATATGTTCTTATAATTGTTTGTATTTCTCTGGTGTTGGTTGTGATCTCTCCTCTTTCATTCATGGTTTTATTTATTTGGGTCCTTTCTCTTTTTTTTTTTTTTTTTTGATAAGTCTGGCCAGGGGTTTATCAATCTTAATTCTTTCAAAGAACCAGCTCCTAGTT